TATACACTGAAAACTACCAAAACAAAAAGCAAAGACAAATGTGTTCAGGGATTGGGAAACTCAATATTATTAAGATGCCAGTTCTCCCCAAATTAGTAAATGCAGTGTCTTCCCAATCAAAATCCCAGCTAAGTGTTTCGTACAATTTAAGCTGATCTTAAAATTTATAAGAAAATGCAGAGGGCCTAGAGTAGCCAAAATAATTTAAAAACAAGGACAAATGTCAAGGACTTCAAGACTTAATGTAGAGCAACAGTAAGCAAGAAAATGTCATGTTGTTCTCAGGTTTGATAAATACATAAATGGAACAAAATAGAGACTCCAGAATTAGGCTCACACATATATGGTCAGTTAATTTTCAAAAGAGATGCCAAAGTATTCAATGGTAACAAACAGTGCTGGTACAGCTAAATATCTATATGGGGAAAAAAACCTCAGTAAAAATCAAAACTATAAAACTTCTAGAAAACACAGGAGAAAATTTTTGTGATCTTGGTATAGGCAAAAATTTTAAACAGGTAACAGAAAGCTTGTAACTATAAAATATTGATGAATTAAGCTTTGTCAAATTAAAAATGTTTGCTCTTCAAAGAACACTTCAGAATATAAAATGGCAAGTCACAGACTAGGAAAATATACTAACAAGATATGTATCTTGCAAAAGACTGGTATACAGCATATATAAATAACCTTATAATTTAATAATTAGAATATAACCCAGGGCATCTAGGTGACTCATTTGGTTAAGTGTCTGACTTCGGCTGGAGTCATGATCTCGCAGTTCATGGGTTTGAGCCCCTCATTGGGCTCTGTCTGACAGCTTGGAGCCTGGAGCCTGCTTAAGATTCTGTGTCTCCCTCTCTCTCTACCCGTCCCCTGCTCAAACTCTGTCTCTGTCTCTGTCTCTCAAAAGTAAATAATAAAAGTTTTTATTTAGAAAAATTTTAAAAAGGATATCCCAATTTTATAGAGAGAGGTAAACTAAGTGTTTAACAAAGTAACACATATGATAATATACTCACCATTTATTTTTTTTAATTTTTAATGTTTATTTATGAGAGAGAGAGAGGCAGAGTGTGAGTAGGGGTGGGGCAGAGAGAGAGGGAGACATGTTAATATACTCACCATTATTTTTTTTTAATTTAATGTTTATTTTTGAGAGAGAGGCAGAATGTGAGCAGGGGTGGGGCAGAGAAAGAGGGAGACAACAGAATCTGAAACAGGCTCCAGCCTCTGAGGTGTCAGAACAGAGCCTGATGTGGGGCTTAAACTCACTATCCATGAGATCATGACTGGAGCAAGTCAGATGCTTAACCGAGTACACCCAGGTATAGGGTATACTCATTATTAACTGCACACCCACCAGAATAGATATTTTAAAAAATGACAGCACCAAATATTAATAGCTGGAACTCTTGTTCATTGCTCTAGGAATATAAGGGCCATTTTAGAAAAGACTCAGCTGTTTTTATAAAATTAAACTTACCCTAAGACCCAACTGTCTACCTTGAAGTATTTACTATGAGAAATGAGAACATCTGTACACACTTAGATACATGTATATTTATAGCAGCGTTATTTATAATAGTTTTAAAGCTGGAAACAACCCAAATGTCCATCAATAAAAGAATGTGTACATAAATTTGGGTATATTTATACAAAGGAATGGTACTCAGGAGCAAAAATAAATGAGCTACTGATAACATGCAGTAATATGAGTAGATGCCTGAAAGGTTATATTTGAACAACAACAACAACAAAAATAAAACCCCATACTTAAATACAGGCATGAAAGAGTACATACTGTATAATATGAAATATGTATAAGAGTATGTAGTGTTTATATGATATTCTAAAAAGTCAAAACTGGCCTAGACTGATAGAGAATAGGACAATGGTGGCCTGAGGTAAGGGCTGGGGATAGGGTTATCTGTAAATAGGCACAAGTGTACTTTTCAGTAGCAATGCGAATATCTCAGTGGTGCTGGTGGCTTCCTGGGCATATACATTGTCAAAGCTCATTGAGCTCATACACTTTAAAGGGTGCATTTTATTAAGTGTAAGCCATGCCTCAGTGTGGTTGGTTTTTTTTAAAAATCCTGTTTTCCTATATTTAAAAATGGCATGTCCAAGTAATATCCAAAATATATAAAGAACTTATATAACTCAACACCAAAAAAAAAAAAAAAAAGAAAAAAAAAAAGAAAAGAAAAAANATAAAGAACTTATATAACTCAACACCAAAAAAAAAAAAAAAAAGAAAAAAAAAAAGAAAAGAAAAAATCCAGTTAAAAGATGGGCAACAGGCACGAACAGACATTTCTCCAAAGAAGATATCCAGGTCACTGGACACACGAAAAGGTGCTCAACATCACTCATCATCAGGGAAATGCAAATCCAAACTACCATGACCTATCACCTCACAACTGTTAGAATCGCTACACTCAAAAACACAAGAAACAACAAGTGTTGTAGAGATAAAGGAACCTTCTTCCACTGTTGATGGGAGTGCAAACCGGTGCAGCCAATGTGAAAAACAGTATAGCGATTCCTCAAAAAATTAAAAATAGAACATATGACCCAATAATTGCATTCCTGGGTATTTACCCAAAGAATATGAAAACACTAATTTGAAGGGTATATACACCCTTGTGTTTATTACAGGATTATCTATAATAGCCAAGATATGGAGGCAGCCCAAATGCCCATCAATAGATGAGTGGATAAAGGAGATATAGTATATACATACAATGGGATATTATTCAGCCATAAAAAGGATGAAACCTTGCCATTTGCAACAACATGGGTGGTTCTAGAGGGTATCATATAAAGGAAATAAGCCAGTCAAAGAAAGACAAATACCATGATTTCATTCATGTTATAATTTAAGAAACAAAACAAAGGGGCAAAAAAAGAGGCAAACAAATAAACAAACACCAAATAACAGAAAACAAAAAAACCCAACTCTTCCCCATATAGAACAGAGGGTTGCCAGAGGGTGATTGGTGGGAGGATGGGTGAAATAGGTGATGGGGATTAAGAGTATACTTACCTTTTTTGTTTGTTTGTTTTTGATTCAAGTTAGTTAACATACAGTGTAGTTTTGGCTTCAGTAGGAGAACCCAGTGATTCATCACTTCATATGACACCTAGTGCTCGCGCATCCCTAAAAGTGCCCTTCCTAATGCCCATCTCCTGTTCAGACCATCCCCACATCCCCACATGCTGGAGGGGACTCCAGCCACCCTCAGTTTGTTCTCTGTATTTGAGTCTCTTATGCTTTGCTTCCCTCTCTGTTTTCATGTTATATTTCCTCCCTTCCCCTGTGTTCATCTGTTGAGTTTCTCAAATTACACGAGTGAAATCATATAACATTCTCTGACTTATTTCTCTTAGCATAGTATATTGTAGTTCCATCCACATTGCTGCAAATGGCAAGATTTCATTATTTTCTAACACCAAGTAATATTCCTGTGTGTGTGTGTGTGTGTGTGTGTGTGTACACACCACATCTTCTTTACCACTCATCAGTCAATGGACATTTGGGCTCTTTCCATAACTTGGCTATTGTTAATAGTGCTGCTATATGTTGCGGACGAAATGACACAAAGGACAAGACACACACAAAAGACAGACACAGACACAACTCCGGCCGGAGGAACAATTCTACGCAAGCCCCTCTTGCAGTTTATTTCATACCCCGGTAACTGGATACAAACTGAAATCTACAAGATGCATTCCTTTACCAATTAAGGGCAAGTAGCCAAACACATTTCAAGGACAGGGGGGAGCAAAGGGAGGAAGCGACCACAACATGTTTACTAAGAGGCCTGCTCACAATTCCAGCCTCCTCCTTATTTCTAAGGAGGGCATGTTCCCTCGTTTGCGAGCGGACCATTAAACTTGGATATTGTGTGCAGGCCTCCTGGCAGAGCATCCTGTTTGCAGGCATGCTTCGCCCAGGCAGGGAGCCCCGTGTGCAGGCACATCCCCGCATCCCTAACCACGCTTTCTTGTGGTCACTGTCGGGCTCCCACACTATAAACATTGGAGTGCATGTGCCCCTTCAAATCAGCAGTTTTTTATCCTTTGGATAAAAGCTAGTAGTGCAATTCATGGGTCCTAGGGTAGCTCTATTTTTATTTTTATTTTTATTTTTTTGAGGAACCTCCATACTGTTTTCCAGAGTGGCCACACCAGTGTGCATTCTCACTGGCAATGCAAAAGAAATCCTCTTTCTCCACATCCTCGCCAACACCTGTTGTTGCCTGAGTTGTTAATGTTAGCCATTCTGACAGGTGTGAGGTGGGTATCTCATTGTGGTTTTGGTTTGTATTTCCCTGATGCTGAGTGATGTTGAGCATCTTTTATGCACCTATTAGTCATCTGCATGTTTTCTTTGGAAAAGTGTCTATCCATGTCTTCTGCCCATTTCTTCACTGGATTGTTTGGTTTTTGGGTGTTGAGTTTGATAAGTTCTTTGTAGATTTTGGATACTAGCCCTTTATCAGATATGTCATTTGCAAATATCTTCTCCTATTCTATCAGTTGCCTCTTAGTTTCATTGACTGTTTCCTTCGCTGTGCAGAAGGTTTTTATCTTGATGAGGTGCCAGTAGTTCATTTTTGCTTTTGTTTCCCTTGCCTCTGGAGACGTGCCAAGTAAGAAGTTGCTGCAGCCTAAACCAAAGAGGTTGCTGCCTGTGTTCTCCTGTAAGGATTTTGATGGTTTCCTGTCTCACATTCAGGTCTTTCAGCCATTTTGAATTTGTTTTCGTGAAGAGTACACCTATCTTGATAAGCAATGAGCAATATGTGGAATTCTTAAATCCCTATACTTACTATACATTTGAAACTAATATAAAATTGTATATTAACTACACTGGAATTAAAATAAAATGAAATAAATTCCTGTTCTCCTGTTTGAACCTTGAAGCAAATTTTCAAATTTCTTTTATGAGAGAACATTTTTTAAAACAAAGGTTTGCCTATTTTTTTCAGAAGTATCTCAGAAAGACACAAGGTGGCGATGTTACCCCAAGAAAGTGTATGTGTTCAGTCTCTAAAGCCCCAGCTTCACCTGACAAGTCTTTGGTCCTCAGAACAAGGTATTGTCCTCAATACTTTCTTATCCAAGTACTTATCTAATATACTTATTATTAATTGATTATATACTTAATTATTGTCTACATTCAATAACTATGCCACAGATCTTTTTGAAACAGCCGAAGAGCTTTATAACTTTTTTTTTCTACTGTAGTCAACAATAGTCAAGGTGGTAAATAATTCACAGCAAGTAAGATATTTTGTTACTGGGGAGACTACAATTTGTTACTCACCTAGTGAACTGAGAAATTTGCCTTAACCTCTAGACAGAGGACATTTCCTAACAGTACTTCTCATTTGTAGTTCAGACATTCAGCCATTAGAGGACAGTGCAGAAGCATAATTATGGTCATTCATGAAGGATGTGGGAAATGCCAATGGAAGTCTTTGGTGGTTGGTCTGGGAGAACTGTTTTAGTGCAGCAACCAAGTACATCTTCTACAAAAGGAGACTATAACCAGATAAGTAGTAAGCACCAATAAATATTCATTCTCTCAAGAGTAAAGAGTGTAAAGGAAATGAATACATTTATAGAAACCATCTATTTGATGCAGCATTTTTTGTTTAAAACATTATTTCTCACTAGTGAAGTAGTTTCTCTTAATGAACCCCCCTGAAGAGAACTATAAACTCTGGACTCAGAACCATATGAAGACACAGGAAGGAAAAGAAAACAGGCAGGTTCTGGAGGGGAGTTGATACTTAGGAGAAAAAAAGGCACTTAGCGAATTTCTCATTTTTTGACTTTTATGCCAACGACAGATCCCAGTTTGTGCGTTGTGGTTGGTGGGCCCTCAGATGGTAAATCTCATTTTACTGGCTAGAGGAAGCAAAGGACAGAGTAACTGGAAAGCGAGGAGGAGGTGGCAAGAAAATGAGACCAAGAGAAAGTCTCCCTTCCAGCCCAGCCCTCAACCGTGATTACACAAGGCAACTTCACACTGCTGAGGCTGAACACTAGCACCTCCCTGTGTTTCCCTACTACTTGACGGTGCCTCTCAGTGCCGTGGGGAGATGAGCGCCCTGGGCCCCTGTGATCCTAATCCGGACTGCTGTCTGCAATGCCTTGAGCTTATATATATGAGCTTATATATAAGCCTCTTTGAGCTTCAGTTCCTCCAGGTGATAAAGGAAACTCTGCCTTTCTCACAGGGTTATTTCTGAGGACGAACAGAGAAAACTTGTGTGAAGTTCCTGGCACAGAAGGAGTTGAATAAATGATTAATTTTCTTCCCACTTCTCTTTCTGGTTTACATGAATCCTTGTGACCGATTCTCAATTTCCAAGGTAAACTCTACTGGCAAACCTTCACATCAGCTGAAGACTCTGGTCCTGACCTTTGATAAAAGACTGTGGGCTCGCTTCTCACAAGACTTTGGTCGTCTGTCCCCCTTTTCAAATCCAGGTTTGAAGAATAAGCTCTCACATCTTTGCAGTGAGCACTGGCTTGCTAGGCTCCCCAAGAGAGGCCCGGGTGGCCGCAGCCCCCCAACAAACTGAGATGCCAGCTTCCCAAGCCTATGTCAGCATTGCTTGCCCTATCTCAAACATTGGCCTTTCTGACTTACTATTTATTCTAGACCTCTAGTCTTTATTCATCCTCATTTCCCACTGCCTCCTAGTTTTTTTTCTTGGCGGTTACATGAACATGATTTTGAGTGACCATGTGCACCTGTTATGGAAAGGCCTACCGTCTCTCTCTGTCATGGAGTCGGTCCTTTATGATTCTTTTTTCCTACGTCCGCCATCCAGTCAGTGCTCATGTGTAAGGCTTGCAGACTAACCGGAATTTGCTCACCTGCCCTTACCTCTCACCTGGATCACGCGCTAGCCTTCTACCTGGTTTCCTTGCTTCCTTGCCTGTGCCCTGTATGCCATTCTCCTCCCAACCCAAGAGTTAAACCTTTAAATACGCTTATCGATTTGTATCATAATCTTTAACTTCTGTGGCTTCTTCATTGTAGTTAGAAAAAAAAAAATCAAATCTCCTTATAGGTCCTCTGATTACTTGTCTGATGTCACTTTAAATTGTTTTTTTTTAATTTTTAATTTATTTTTGAGAGAGAGAGAGAGAGAGAGTATGAACAAGGAAGGGGCAGAGAGAATCCAAAGCAGGCGCCAGGTTCTGAGCTGTCAGCCCAGAGCCCAACGCAGGGCTCAAACTCATGAACCATGAGATCATGACCTGGGCTGAAGTCGGATGCTTAACTGACTGAGCCCCCCAGGCACCCCTGTCTGATACCACTTTTACTACTCATCAATCACTGTAGTTCTGTCTTTCTGTCCCACAAATATTTCAGACTTAACCCTTCATCCAATCTGCTGTGATTGTTGTTTCCTGTGCTTCAATGTTCTTTCTTTGCTTGGCTACCTACCTGCCTTTTATTATTCCCGCGTTGCTTCTATTACTGTCCGCTCAGAAAAGCCTTCCTGGCTGTCCTAACCAAAGCAGTCCTTACCTAGACGCAGACCCCTCTGTCCTATTGTACTGTTTTGTTTCCTTCAGAGCACTCATCACCATCAAAATCGTCTTAGAAATGGGCACCTGGGGGGCTCAGTCTGTTAAGCCTCCAACTTCGACTCAGATCATAATCTCACAGTTCTTGAGCGTGAGCCCCACATCAGGCTTTGGGCTGACAGTACAGAGCCTGATTGGGATCCTTTCTCTCTGCCTCTCTCCCTGACCGTTCTCCACTTGTGCTCTCTCTCTCTCAATAAATAAATAAACAAACAGGCAAACAATCAATAAATAAATAAACAAAAAGACAACCAACTTTAAAAAATTGGTCTTAAAGAAAAAGAAATGGTTTTTATCTGTTGTAACACCATCCCATACTGATACAGAGTTTATTGGAGAAAAACAGAGGAGGAGTAATAGAATATATACATTGTCTCTAACTCTTGTTACTCATTAGATCTTATGCCAGGTACAGATGGTCTGCATGTCCCATGGCCAAGGTTCCAATAAAGGAGGACATTCCCTCGGGATGTTCTGTATATTTGTGATGTGCCTTTTGGGAAGAGGGTCAAAGTCGAAAAGCATCCATGAGACGATACAAGTTCCCTGGTCTGGGAAGTGGCCTTGGAAAGGATACTCCATATCCTCCAAATACAGCTTGCAATTAGCCTGACAAACTAGTAATTAGCCTGTTAAACTACCTCAGATCTCTTTTCCAAGCTCTCTGCCATGCTGCCAAAAGTGGGGAGGACATGAGCATCAAGGGCCGCCAGCTTTGTCTCCTCACTAAAACATAACCATGTTAGAGGTGGATGTCTGTCTTGTTTGCCACTAAAATATTACCAGGCACATAGAAAGGTAGTCACCATGTTTGTCGAACAAATGAAAGAAAAATGGCATGAATAGCAATGAAGTAAATGACTAAAAGGAACTGAAATATAGCAAGAAAGGCCATACTTGAAATTGTCTTGGTAGTAGACAGGGTACTACTGGGTACACAGATAGCTAAATTTATTGCAGCATAAGGGACAGTAGAAGCTACTGGTGAAATGACTCCAGTTAGGGTTTTCCCCATTATTTTAAATCCATATGCGTCACAACTTCATTTGTAGAGTTCTATCAACGATACGTGCTGTCTCTTAAATCAGTGGTACACTCTGGTTGGAAACAAAATTTCATGAATTTTTTTTTGAGAGTATCGGATTAGGATTCTCTGGGAGACCGCTTCCAAGTGTCTTTCTTTTTTTGTTCTCATATTGTTTTATTCATCTCAAACTGAGATCACAGTCTGTCCTGGATTGTGTTTAGCATCGCGGGTGACAATGAGGTCATTTCCACTATGCTAAGGCCAACATCAGCGATGCTTACTGCATCCCGATTGATCTTTGGAATACTTCTAAATTACCAAAGTAAGAAAAAATTTTTAGTAAAGGGAAAGTATATGATGAGCTAAATCCTGAGAAGTATGACTAATATTACAATGTAAAATACTCAGCAGGCACTCAATCAAGTTCATCTCTTGAGGATTTCTCATGATCAGAAACTCCCCTGGGGGTTAAGTCAGCATTCCAGTTTTACATATTTCATAAATATAAATCCTTGGGGTGGATACGATTGCCTTGTAACATTAATAAGATTTATTTCTGTAATCGCAATAAAAACTATAAAACAAGCAAAACAAAGTTTTTTTAGCGCTCTCTTCCATGACCCATACTGGAATCAATTTTTTCTACCAATGTCATATCTATTTTTCAAGGCATTTAGGGGACTAAAGAATGACACAGAATGGGGAAATTACACAAATTAGTTTGCTCTGTATTTCTACAAGTCAAGTAATCTGTTGGAATAATTTTAAGGCAATTCTTTAATGATTAGTTTAAGACCATCTTAAGCTCTCTGAAATTTTATACCTTTGGTTACTTTTTCCTAAAAATTCCCTTCAACCTTTTCCCCCATTTTCATTCTACTTTCTCCCTGTTTCTTCTTGGACCATTTTAATGATGTTTCTTCCTCCCCTTTATCACTTCCTAACCATCAGTGCCACTCCACTGTCAATGTCTCGGCCTTTTCATGCTTTACACTTTGTTTCACTTGCCTAATCACATAGCTTCACCTTTCACTTAACGAACCAAACTTTGAATAAACATTGTAGCCACGTGTAAAGCTGGACATGTCCATTTAGCTGCCCTACACGTTCCTCACAATGCACTCTGTCCCCACCACCAAGCACTTTGTGTTTTCTTGATTTCAGTGTTAGGATGAACATGATCCCCTTCTACTCTGTAAGCAGAGGAGTCCATCTCCACCACTTTCTAGACCCAGTCATTGAGTCTAGTACTACGTCTCTTCCTAAAGTCTTCCCTATCTTTTTGTTTCTCTGCATCTTCATTCTGAGCAGAATAACCATAATTTCATGGGTGACCTCTCTGAAACTTATCAGTCACAGCAGCCTGGGAAGCAGCAGTCCTGAACCTCTTTAGGATTCACCTCAAGGCCACTCTGAGCCTCTTGTATGAAATGTGACCTCTCCTCTATTAATAAGGCTCTAAATTGATTATACTGAAATTATAGGAAGTATATGGGATGGACACAAATGATGCTAGTAAATATTTCTTATATGTGAAGAATGGGTGAGTCTTTGGAAATAAAAACTACAGAAGTGAAAGATATGAAGCTGACCTTTAGAAGGATGGGAGAATGAGTAGAAAAGCAAAGTTGGAGTGCCCTGGGTTCAGATTTCAACTCCACCCTTGGTTTGACTGTGGACTAGATACTTACCTGATTTTAGCTTTGGTTTCCTTATTTGTAAAATGGAGATAGTATCTCATTTCTCACTCAAAGGGGCTTTTTGACAGTTAAATAATGTTTTATATAAAGTTTCCATTTGGAAATTTACACATGGTATATTCTTACCAAGTCAAATATTGTTAATACTTAGGAGTATAGGACTTAAATACGTTAAATAACAGTTCAAGGAAAAAATAATAGAAATATTATTGGGGCACCTGGGTGACTCAGTCAGTTAAGCGTCTGGCTCTTGATTTCTGCTCAGGTCATGATCTCAGTGGTGAGATCAAGCCCCACGTCAGGTTATGTGCTGACTGTGAAGAGTCTACTTGGGTTTTCTGTCTCTCTCTCTCTGTGCCCCTCCCCTGCTCATGATCTCTCTTCTCTCTCTCTCGCTCTCTCTCTCTCAAAAATTATAAAAAATATCATAAAGAAATACACAGTAGCTGCCAAAGAATAGTACTGACAGCTGTTCTTTTTTTAAAAAAAGTTTATTTATTCATTTTGAGAGAGAGTGTGTGTGCATACACAAGTGGGGGAGGGGCAGAGAGAGAGGGAGAGAGAGAGAATCCCAGGCAGGCTCCATGCTGTCAATGCAGCACCCGAACCAGGGCTTGAACCTACCAACGATGAGATCATGACCTGAGCCCAGATCAAGAGTTGGAGATTCAACAGACTGAGCCGCCCACGTGCCCCTGTAGCAGCCATGCTTGAAGGCCCCAGGATATCTTGAATGGAGAGAAATTATAGGCCTTAGACACAGCAGGATTGCACACAAATTGTTTGGCCCCTTAGCTTCTTTGCTGCACAGAACAAGAAAAGGTTTGTAGATTTTTATGGTCTTTAAATAAAATCAGGCTAGACTCACTGCTCACCTCTGCCTAGAAACTTCCAAATTTGAAGGCATTTTCCAGCCACTATCAATTATTCAAGAGAGACATCGGGGAAGCTATAGATGAATAAAACTCTCCAGGTGCCCTCCTTG